GGTTGGGCTTGATGATCTTAGAGGTCTTTTCCAACCTTAATGATTCTATGATTCTATTCTATGATTCTAAGTGAAGCCCACTCCCATGGTGGTACCTGAGCCAGCAGCATCCCCCAGGGAGGGGGGGCAAAGGCAAACCCCCTCATCCTCCCAGCAGATTTTTACTTTTCAGACACCCCAGTGATACGAAGCAGCTGAGTGACATGGGTGACACGTGGAGAAGCGACCCGTGGGAGGCTGCAGCCCCCCCGACGGGGATGCAACGCGGGGCCTCAGCCTTTGAATGCAGAGAGGGTCAAGGGAGCAAAGGACTTGGCAAACAACCGCATCCAAACCCGGTGTGTTAATACCCTTCCGTGACGCCAAAGCGGTTGGCAAAACAGTACCAGTGGCACGTATCCCCGCTTTTCAAAGCTCTTTGCTCCTAGCTTTAAATAGCCTCCTCCGCCGGCAAGCGCCAGCAGGAGTCCGTGTGTCTGGGCTTGTGTGCAGGCATGATAAACGGGCCGGTGTCTGATTTAAGTATTTGGAGTTAATAACGTGCACATTTGCAGGATTACCTCCATTTTCTGACTTCTGAGAGATATCAGGGATCTTCCACAATATCCTTTGCATTCCTAAAAACACATGAAGAAGAGCATTTCTGTAGGAAACAAGAAATTACAAAGGAGTCATTTGAATTTTGCTAAAGGCCTTATGGGCTGGGGGAGCAGCTCCGGCACTGCTCTCCAGAGCTGCAATTCTGGGAGCTTGGCTTTGAGTTTGGGACCCGAGTAGGAAAATGCCGCTCTTGCATTGCAGGTGAGAGGCAGCGGGGCTGTGCCGTGCCCTGCTTCCCCGCTGCAAACGTGCATGCCCGTGCCTACGGCAGCGATGGCCATGCATCCTTCTGAGCCCCGGATAAAAGTAGCCAAAACACGAAATAAGGGTTGTTATTCTGCTGCCTGCACACATGCGTTCAGCTCTGACCGCTTGCTTGTGGGAATGGCAAGAAAAAAAAGAGTGGGGTTGCATGCTCCCTCCTGCAAGAGGAGGACAGGTTTGGGTCCCCAGCGTACAGGCACCTCCTGAGGGCGATCCCGCTCCTGCAGCCAGGATGGCTGTTTTGGGCAGGGACATGGCAGAGAGAGCTCTTTGTCGGGTGAGCGATTCCTACCAGACAGCAGGAGGAAGCACAGCTTGAAGTTTGGTTACTCCTCCGTCGACGGGGACGAGGAACTGGACGTTGTTTAGAGCTACCGGTGTGGTCATTGCCTCTGTATTGTATTTGTAGTCAATGCGGAGGTCAGTGCTTGCAGGGTCACACCGCCAGCTCACTGCAAGGTTTAATGGAGTAGACTGAATACCCTGGGCAGATACCTTCCAAAATGACAGAAAAAACATTTAGTTTCCATAGGGGTGAAGGGAGAAATCCCATTTTACAGACGCGGTAATTGCATTTGGTTTCAGAGGAGACAATACCTTGTATTCTCATAGAAAGCTTGTACTGGGCTCAAAATCAGGCAATCTAGTGACATACAGAAGGGACTAGCGAGATAGCATGCCCCCACCTCACATTATACCGTCTTTTACATCTATAAGTTAAGCACACAGTTTTGGCACAGTTCTGTCTTACAAAAAAACCCCTACCTGGTATTTGAGCATATCCACATTGTAATAGGTGGCTTGCGGTTTCTGTTCCGATACCTTCTTTAGGTGAGTCATCAGATTTGGCATGTTGACCCAGAACTCCTTCGTGTTGGCGTCACTCTGCGTGGTGTCACTGCACAGAGGGAGAATTAACCCTTCGCGTAACCTCCTCGGCTGAAAAAAGCTTTTCTACAAAGCATGCAGGACAGCAGCGCCGGCCGCCGGCTGGGACCGCATTTAATCCCACATTTAGAGAAATATTGCCTCCCTCCCGCGCTTGTCCTCAGACACCTCCGGGGAGGCACAGCAGATGCAACCTGTAGGTCATCTCATTTTGCAAACAGGAGGTCTAACGAGCAGAGCGAGGCACAGAACAAGCAAATCCCATCAAAGCGCTTGCTCCTCTCTGCTGATGCTCTTCTGCCTGGCAGAGGGGCTGCTCTCAGAGGGAGTACTCTGGCAAACAGTTAAAGGCTTGACAGTTTCCTTTCCAAAATCAGGGCAGGCTTCCAAGGAAGATACTTTGGGCCATGTGTTTTTTGCAAAGCACCCTACTTTTCTGGAAACCCGCCTTCCTTTGGGGTGCTGACGAGGCGGGGGCTTACCAGCAGAGGAGCTGGGGGTTTGGCAGGACGTGCTCCAGCCTGTTGTAGTTCAGCACGCGGAAGGTGAGCACCGCCGGAGTGGGGTTGTTGGCAAAGTGTCGGGTGATGCCCGCTGGAAACGACAGCACCATCTCCCCCGTGATCTTCACGATACACCTGCAGCGCCGAACACAGAGACCGAGGGGGGAGGAAACGGGGGGCTCAAAACGCAGCAGGAGGGGAGCAGGACGTGCTCCAGCCTGTTGTAGTTCAGCACGCGGAAGGTGAGCACCGCCGGAGTGGGGTTGTTGGCAAAGTGTCGGGTGATGCCCGCTGGAAACGACAGCACCATCTCCCCCGTGATCTTCACGATACACCTGCAGCGCCGAACACAGAGACCGAGGGGGGAGGAAACGGGGGGCTCAAAACGCAGCAGGAGGGGAGGGTTCGCACCAGGGATGGTGCGGTGACAGC